CTTCCTTAGCTGCTATGAAACAAAATTTACATCCAGTTAATTGAAATATTTGATTCCATGCATAGTCTATATCTTTCCTCAGGTTTTAACTTTTAACGTAGAGCTTGGAAATGGAAAAGGATGGCCTTTTTTTTTTTGCCCTCCTCCCCCCTTTCTTTTTTAACCTGTGCAGTTATGATCACTGGAGAAATTTAAAATGAAAGCTTCAATATTAGTGCTTTATATTTGATCCAAGGGTGAAATGTTTGCTAAAATAACGTATTCGCATGCTCTGCAAACCTTCAATATTAGTGAGTGAATTCTCTGGAACTTTTCCACACTACCCTTGCCAAAGGAGCGTCTTCCTCCTGAGAACCCAGTCGTCCTCCACCGCCTCCAGCTGATTTGTCGCTCTTATTAGTGAATATGAGAGACAGAATATGCTCTTGGTTTTCTGATGTGATAGGTTTTTCTCTCACCAGAAATGATATTTGAACTGACATTAAAATATGTCACATATCTGATTTGTGGGTAATACAGATTTATAGCATTGCTTTTGCATAGATTAGTTTGGGAGCTTGATGACAATTAAAAGCCTGATCTGAAAGCAGCAGAGAAAACATAACTGAGAAACGTGAGAATAGTTAGAACTGTATTTTTAAATGATTTTTGTAATCGTTATCATAATGCAGAGTATTTGTGATTTAAGTACTAAGTCTGAGACCGTTGGGGAAAAAGAAAAGAAGCGTATTTCACAAGGTTAAAAACATTGCCCAAATTTTTGGACTGAGAGAGTTTATTATTCTTTGACTTAAACAAAATTTCTTGGAACAGGTTTTCATGCCAGCATGCAGAACAAATTTAATTCAGACAGAGATGAAAGGCGGTTAATGTAATTGTAGCCTATTATCCTGTGCAGGCTTGAGTTAAGCAGCAATCCAAGAGACAGCCAGAAAAAGATGGATAGAAAATAGAAACACTCAAGGCAGGTGAATTGGAGACTTGGGAAGGGATTATACTGTAACTCTTCCCACACAATCTCTCTATCAGCAATATCCCACCTCTACTGTATGTCTGGATTACTGAACAGGATATTCCTACGCCTCTTGGTCTGCCCTTATTTACCTCTGACGTCAAAAAAGTCCTTGTTTGGTAAACTCCAGTACTCTCTAATCCTGATTTTTGTTTCCCTTAATTTATCACTTTCATCAGTCCCAGGGAAGCATTAAAGCATTTTCTTACAGCACTGGGTTTATTTACTTTTTGTTTTTCTTTTCTTGCAACCTTCCAGAGGCAAGTGTATAATCACTTAAACTGACAAAATCTTAGTTCTTTGGCAAGTTTATGGGCATCATTGCTAGTGAGCAAATACTATTTTTACTGTAGTATTTGCTGAGAATAAAATCTAATAAGGTTTTCAGCAGTTAAAAATTGGTTTGTGTAGGTAAGACCTTCTGAATTACTTTATTTCAGGTCATTGTGATGTTTTTCAAAATTGCATTTTGACTATTTAACTATATTAACTATGTATTTTAATATTCAATATTCATTTTTTTTAGTAGCTGACATTTATTCTTTTAGAGTATATACTAAATATGGCATTTAAAATCCTTAAAAAGCAGGAAGATCTGTGTCTCTGTCCTGAGATGAAAAGTCATGGAGAGTTTTGGAATACTTTAAGGACTATTACTGACAAAAGTGTTTGGGCAGGTTTGTTGTACCTGCCATAGCACAGGAAGCAAGGCAAGTACCCTATTTGCTGTGAAATAACTGATCGTGTCTAGTCAATAGGTACAATATGTTTGTGTGTTAGTGTGCCCGTGTACATACATATATATGTGCACGAGTACAGGCTGGGGTCTGACCCTGCCTCAAAGCAGTTCTGTGGAGAAGGACCGAGGGATCTTGGTGGACTTTAAGCTGACCATGAGCCAGCAAAGTGCCCTTGTGGCCAAGGAGACCAGTAGTATCCTGGGTTATATATAGCATTGTTCTTACAGCATAGACAATAACATTTCTTAACAGGCACTTGCTAAAAAAGTATCAGTAAAACCTTTGCTCCAGGATATTTACAGCATTATAATAGGCTATTGGAGATCCAAGATGTTTGTAGGAAAGATTGGATAAAAGCAAATGAGAATTTATATTAACAAATCCTCCAACYACCTATGTTATTTTGTGTATTCTTTCTTTAATACGTAAATCTCTATCTTTTGGTTTGGTGTCTTTTTTTAATAAAGTCAAATRAAAGCTGGCACAGGTTAGATGGGAATGATATCACAGATTATATAGGTTTTTAAGAGAGACAAATGTGGTTACAGTAGAAAAATGGTACCCTAAGGCACTGGTTTGATGGATTATGCCATGCATGGAGTGAAGAAAGAGAGAAAGATTAATAATAGACAGGAATAGAACTTGTGAGAATGACATTTTGGACAGTTTTATAGATAATCTGATGGAGAAAAATGTGGTTTTAAAGGCCAGAAGAACCTACAGAAGACAGGAGGTTGAAGCTGCCAAGCCTCCATACCTGGTTTCTGATGGCACTTCTCCCATAGGTGGTTTACATGTTTTTGAAAGCACCAACCACTGTTGTTGAGGAGGAGGTACAGTTCTCTCTCAATTTCTGTAAAAGCCACAGGATTATTTGGGAAACCTAGCAATCAATATTTAAACCACTGTGTCCCTAGAAGGCTGCCTATCCCATATATTGGACATTTGATTATATTTAAACAGAACATAAGCATCATTCTAATGCTAATATGTTATGATTCCAATATGATAAGCCTGAGCAGGTGATATATTTAATGAAAAATAGGTACTGTACATCAAATTAATGAGCCTTAATCATTTAATTTTCTGTGCAGTGCTTTGTGCATTTCAGGTTGTAGAGTTGTTTAATAGCTTAGTATAACTTTTTTTCCTATTATTATAACCTTATTTTTGCTGTAATGAAATACACCAACTAGCAATCTATGCATAGAATATATCCCTCTTATAGCTAAGTCTGCCTTTTGACTGTATTGACATTGCAGTACATTGTCCAAATGTTTGCCATTAATAACGAATAATTCTCTCAACTTCTTGAGCTATAATTAAACATATTTATTTCTAATGCACAAATTGGACACTTCTATTTCTCTCAGTGCCAAGCTTCTTTGAGTCAAGAGCTACCTTCCTTCCATGGATATGAAGAATGATCTRCCTACCTCTTAAGATAATGATAACCTAAAAGGCTAAAAGGTTCTAGGATTTATGTTTCCAGTTAGGACTTTTTAATAATGTGTGGAAGTGATTTATTTGTTTCTTCTTCTAAGTGCTTATAATAATGCTTTGAGACAATGTTTTTTCAGTAGATTAATTTGTCTCCTGTTCCCTTAATTCACAAAAATAAAAGGAAGGCTCAGACTGCAATCTTTTTTTTTTTTTTTTTTCCTTATTTAGGCTGATCTCACCAATAGAAAAATAAATCCTAGCTTCATAAGCAGACTTCCTATTTCCAGAAATTTCTCACTCTATTCTATCTCCTCTGAAAGCTGCAGATTCTTAAATACTCTTTGGAGTAATAATATTTCAAACAGAGTACCATGAGGTTTTTTTGGCTCCACTCGTCATTATTTTCTCATTATTTTCTTTGTGATATTGTAACAAATATCTATGGAGCTTCTCTACCTATATTTAATAAAGATGAGCATGGTAACAACTTAAATACAAAAACATTTTCTTGTAATTCCTGTTTCTTGAAGAGTACAAAGCAGTGAAAARGTAGTACAAACGCTCAGCTAATGATAAGCTGTTAAACTTTGTTTTATAAACTCTTCTGTATATTTGATTGAAAATTACAATTTTTCAGGAGACTTCTGGAAGACCCCAGAAAACCAAAGCAAGATAATTTCTGTTAATGTATGTGGGTTTTTTAGCCAAATATTATATAACTCAATGTATCTGATAATTATGAAGTTCTGTAGTTTAATCCATTTTTTTTCTGAAAACCACTATTTTTTATAAATAATGTATGTTTATCAGATTTTCAATATGTCAGCTGCAACAGACTGAAGTCTGAAGGATATTCAGTCTAAGTTGTCCTAGTGTGCTGTGGTCAATGGAGAGAAGTGACTACTTCAGGAGTTCAGAGAAGCGAAGTAGCTAAGACACTGCTGTGCTTATTGTGCTACATGTATGGGGGTAATTTCTGGCCCTAAAGCCAGTTGCTATAGCCTGGTTTGCAGCTACATGGATTAGGATGCAACTCTTTTAGAGCAGAATACGCAACAATTGGCCATGGATCACCTCCAGGACCTCTGTGGTGCCCTGAAGACATAATTATCATTTAATGCACGGGGCTCTGGTGTGTCTTTTTGCTTGTTTATTTTGGTGTTTGGTTTGTTTGGCTGGTTTGGTTTTGTTCTGCTTTTAAAGAGTTTGAAACGGCATGAATGATGTGGCCGCCAACTAGAGTGGTGTTTGTGTAGCGTGAAACAGAGCAGCTGTTTCCTCACTGGACTGGGTGAAGACACATGGAAGGTGTTTGAGGAAGCRGAGCCTGCTCTGGTCGTGTTTCAGGACTGTGTGTGTTAGAGGAGGTTATATCTGGGAACAGTTTCTGTAGTGAATGATCCCGCTGATCCGTGCTCTGCTCTCATCTTGGAGAGAGCCAAGGTGCAATCAAAACTAGCCAGCCAGGAAGTAACCGTGAGGCAGCATGGAAAATGAGAGCTCTAGTGCTTGACCTCACTGCCTGGATATCTTTTATTTAGTGATGTGGACATATCCAGAGAGCTAAGTCCTGCTGTAGGTCCTCCAAGGATATGAATGAAGTGCCTTGTTCCAGAGCCTCATCACTCTTGTGTTTCTATTATGAACAGGTGCATCTGAGTGAAGAACTTTATACAGACCTGCATTTCCTGTGTCTGTACTGCTGCAATAAAACTCAAGCTATTTGGAGTAAATATTTGAGTTGCATTAGTATTAAAATGATAATGTGTTTATTGAGAATTTTTTTCTTTTTTTTTCCACTGCAGCTGTGATTCTGAGAATAGATATCTTGGAAATCCACTTAGGGGAACATGTTACTGTAAGTACTTATGTTTTGCATATTTACTTCTTAAATGCTATTTATATATTGTGTTATAATTTCCAGTTTAAAACAAACAAAATATTCTTCTGAGGAATTTCTGAGGTTGGGGCAACTCTGAAAAAATAAAGTGAAAAAAAAAGTGACCCTCTGGGCTTCTCTTGGTGTCTCTTTGTCCACAGGAAAGCACAAAAACTGAATGAAAATTAATTTCTTATGTGTATGCTAGAGTGAATGATCAAACCATTGCATTGCACTCTATTTCAGTGTGTGTGAACAAAAGGAATTTGCAGTTGTGCCCTTGTTTAAGAGACAGAATTTGTAATAGCAAAATAGAACTTGGCTAAATAGCAGCATTTCCTGGTGACATTCTGGATGGTTTAGGCAGTCAGTATGTCCCAGGGACACGGTCCACAGCTGAGCTCCAGTATGTTATAAAATGAATATTAAATAGCAATTTTAATAATCATTTAAAATGTATGTGGTATTACAGTATACTGTCTTTCATCTTGCAACTTTTGCACATACCCTCTCAGCATCAAACAATTGGATCCAATTGTCTGTTATTTCCAAATGCCATCCGCTATGTTGCCCTTAAATTATGTAAAGATGTGCCTCCTAATAAATTTTGATCTTTGACAAAATATTTTAACATTTCAGTCTAGAGTCTATAAATGTTTTATAGTCTCTTGATGACATCGTTTACCTTTTCACCTTTTAACCTTTTTACTTTTTACCATCATTACCATTTTCTTTAGTATATATATCATTTTTAACTTAAATGGTTTACATCTGCACAATATATTTTACAAAATAGAAGAGCAGAATAAGTAGAAGTAGAATAGAAAGTAGAAGTTCATGTTTAAATATATTTYCAAAATACATGTTGATATAATAAAATAGGCTGTTTCTTAAAATAGACCTAATTAGACTTAAAAGTACTCCTTAAAATTGTGTCCTACAAGTATCGTTTGTCAAATAAATTCAATTCCATTTGCTATACATCTCTATTGTAAATTTTTCTATTTTGAAATAGAGATTTTTGCAGTTAGAGGATTGGATAATTGTACATATTCCTTTTAGAAATTATATAGATTCAAATCTAGATAATAATTAGATGAGAAGAATGATCTGTAAAGAAAGTCATACAAAGAACAGTTTGAAAATGTCCATTAGCATCTGTTTTCTTCTTTAAAAAATAAGCATCCCTTTTCTTCTTTAAAAAATRAGCATTATTAAATCTAAAAGATGCAAAAGAAATGACAAGAATGAGATCTGTGCACCTCAGGCACCCCCAAGAAATATCTTATTTTTCGCTATCATGAGGAAGATTTAGTCTATAAATCAATTTGGAGACAGTTTGCACTGTGTTCAGGATAACCTTTAACTCACTGCGGTTGTTTATTTTCTTTCAGTTTTCAAAAATTCTTAAAGATCATGTTGTTTTGGAATGATAAATCTTTTAATAACAGCAATAATAAAAACATGTATATGAGAAAGATTCAGAGTTTTAGTATCTGGAGATAACCAGGAGTCGGCACTAATTTCAAATAATGGGTTGCTTTATTTCTTACGTTTAATGACTAATGCATCATAATAGGAAATTGTTCCTGTTAATTTGTGGGTAATGGACGGACCTAAGATTTCAGTGGCAGTTGGGTGTTGGCACTGTAGATTACCTGCTAAATATATTTTTTAAGTGTTTGCCATAGAGATGTTCAATTTCCTTACCTATGTAAGTATAAAGTCAGTTTAAGTTGAAAATATAACTTCACCATAAGCTATAATTTTATAAGAAAACGAGACATGCAGTAGACAAACATGAGGACAGTATTTTCCTATGTTCATTTCAATACTGTGGGAAAGAGCAATTAATCTAAATGCAGATACTAAGACAAARGGATAAACACAGCTAGCAGTGATGCTAGAGGCGACAGAGTAGGAATATGAGAATAAAAATAAAACTCATACAGAATTAGTGTACATATATGTATATTATTAGTGTAAATTAGTGTGTATGTGTGTGTATGTATATTTAAAACTAGAAAATACTAAACATATGAAAGTATAATAGCAACTGTATGATAGTCTACCTATTCTTCAATGTTGTTGTCAGTGGTGGCTGAAAATGAACGCCTGGGGAAGYGTATGCCAACTGGACAATCATGCTGCAATATTTCCCCCCAGTGATATGTTTACACCCAAGAATTTGCAGCTCAGGAACTTCATGAGAAGAAGGATTTCCTGAGCCGGAAATGTTTGATATACGTGTAGGAGTACCAAAGAAACCTTACAAAGTATTCTTATAAATAAAGAGGGAGGAGAGCATCATTATAAAGGAAAGAGTTGCATGAATTGAAAAGCCACAGAATTTTGTGGAGAGATGGAGGTAAAGAGGAGGGCTTTGTGAATATTCTTGTGGATGGTGGCTCTGTGTTTCTAGTAGGAAAGTCATGTTTCCCTTCCTGTTACAAACCAATCTTTCAGTGAATGATCACAAACTGATTGAAGCCCTATAAATGCTTCTGAGTGGGGCCCAGAGATGGTTGTGCAGTTGACTTAAGCATGTACAAAACACATAAACACAGCATTGTTGTGTTTGAGGCTCTTTTATGTGTTTTTGTTACTGTTCTTTGGTGTCTCGGCCAATGCGGTGTATAACAGTGACACCTGGATAGCGAAATATTTGGCATTCAGATCGCTGGATTAGTTTTTCACACATCAGTATTTGAATCTGCTGCTTTCAGAATCAATGCTTCTGGATGCAAAGAAGCAGGCCACAAAACCAGGTAGTTTTGGACTGGTAGTTTGGACTATTTGGGAATAATCCCTGGAATGAATACAGTTTTCTTGATTCTGACGTAGGTTGTATTTAAAAGGGATGCTTTAAGTCATAAATGGATGGATATTTAAACCTGTATTCTAGAAAAAACAGGGTTTAAATATACAATTAATGGCAAATTATTGTACAAAGGAGGTAAATTCATGGGATGCTTCAGCCCTGTTACCTACTTTTTTTTTTTTAGAATGAATGGAACCTACTGCTTCTCTCTCGTAATTTTATTTCCTTTGCCAACTTTAATACCTCTCTCCTCCTGAGTTATATTTCCTGCTGWCGTCTAGTTCATTTCTTGCCTTGGTGTCTCTGGTTATTGCATCCTCACTTCTCTTCTATATATGGAGCCACAGCTACTTTCCAGAAAGCTGTCATTCCTAAAACCCAAGCAGACAGAGAAGCTCAGCAGTATTCAGCTTGGTTTTCTCCAGGTATTTAGTGTTCTTACAAGTATTCTGTTTAGTATTGGGGTACCATGCTGTGATGGCGACCTCACCAAATAAGAGACTGAATGTAGAACCACACTGGGATAGAGACTCATTGGCTTTCCTAATATTTCTCATTCTCTACTGTTACATTCAAAAGAGATCTTTGTTTTGCTGTTTTTTTTTCTTTCAAGAAATCTCAAGTTTTACCTTTTCTCCATGAATCAATCAGATCTTGAGGCGGATGAGAACAGGTATTATTATTTTTGTATCATATATTCTGGTACGAATTATACTGGTAAAGAAACACAGACGTGGCTTAATATCAGCTGAAACATGTAATGCAAACCCTCAGCAAGAGGAGGCAATGTAATTTCTAAGCAGCTGGGACTTATGCATACATGCATGTATGTGCATTTGTGGACTTAAGGCATGGCATCTTTTGCTTATTGAAAAAAAGTCAAGTGTACTGGAGGTGGCCATAGAGCACTAGATGGCAGACTTGCTATGCTCAGAAAAGATTAAACTCAAGAACACTCCAAGGAGAGTATTTGAGAAGATAACTAACAAGTTTTATTGAAATTGTTAACAGAGATCTTTTAGATATTTTTAAAATTATGTTGAAACTAAGGACAGAAACAGTTTTAGCAGCCGATAAGATGTGTATTTAGCTGAACGGTGAGATTCTTTGCTACTCATCAGTAGCATTTCTGTTACCTTTTGGGACAGCATTAGTTTAAACTAAACACATATTGTAATTGTAAAATTGTCATGCTTGACTTAAAATAATGGTTCCACTATTATATATAATGCTGACTTTGATACAGATTGGGGTGATTTTTATTATCATTAAATATAGATAATGACTCTCCCTGTCTTTTTGAACCTATGGAATTGTGTGAATAAATGCTATTTAAAAGGAAACCTCCTTAGTGTTTAAAATAGTCTAATGGAATAGACTATTGAAACAGAGTTCTAGGATGGTCTGAGGAAAGATTGACCTCAGCAAACCTGCAAACTGGGAATATATAAAGAGCTATAAGCAAGCACAATCTTTGCCTTGACCTAAAATAATGACACCAATTGTAGGCTTTTGGAGAATTAAAAAAAAAATACACAAAACAAAAAAACACACCAGTGAAGTCTTATGATCTCAGTAGAGTGTAGATTTGCAAATTGCTAGGCTAACTTGAAGCATTTCTGGATGGGCTAAAGAAACATTGCTGCTGATCATCTTCAGGCTTTACTATGATTTGGAGAATCTGTCTATAGATATTTTTATTTTTAATTACCCTTATGCATTTTTCAGTCTGTATATGTTAGAAAGCCCATTGTATTTTTAAAATAAAGGCTATTTCTGTCTGTGATAGTTTTTGCTGATGGGAATCCCTGTATCAGGGCATCCTTTTACAGATGATATCAATGCAATATGATATGGGCGATGCACGGGCATTTCATTTTCATGACAATTCACTTACATGAATTTCACTTACATAAATATGTGAGTTTTCTAAATCCTAACCACAAAAGAATAATAGATTATTATTTACATTATAAAGTATGCAAGTAAAGAAAAGTCTGAATTAGTGTCCTTCATCCCCTAATAGGCTGTCCCAGGATCTCATAAATATAAAACTATAAATTATGAAATTATGTGATTGAAACAGGAGTGGTGTGAGACATGGAGAACTCATTCAGAAGTAGTGCTTTTTGTGGTAGGGAACTTTAGACTGTATGTG